CATGCAGTTGGGTACTGTACAAAAAGCAACAGAGAAAGTAAATATTGAATAAATGCAGGTTAAGCAAAACCCAAAATCTTATATAATGCTCTCACGCATGAAAAGATGCCAGTTATTAGACTGTGTACATTCCATTTTTGCAATTTTCCATTTGAAGGTTTTTCATGCTCTTCTTTTATGGATTAAGAACTGGTGGGCAACTTAACACTAGCTGGATTAAATCAGCATGGTGCTGAGCGTAGATGGCCCAGCTGAGGAAAGTTGACAGCATAAAAAAGACATGGAGAGGAAGAGCTGGGCGTTGTGGGTTCTCTTACATGATGCTCTTTGAGCCGCTGGTTCTCCTGGAGGAGCTCGTCGTGCTGGCTTCCCCAATATGAATTCAGCCATTATCATCGGAGGAGCTCAGGACCTTGTTGGTGAGGGTGGCTGTGGTCCACTTTGGGGGAGCTCTGGTCCTTACATGGAGCATCACTTCCTGGCTCTAGAGGGGAAGATGTGTGCTGTTTAATCTCCAGGGTGAACTCATCCATGCACTGGCTTCCTGGCACGTACTCGACTGTTCTCATCATCAGAGGAGCTCAGGGCCTGACTGTCGCTAAGGACAGCTGTGATGCTTTTCAGGACAGTCCTGATCATTATTTTGAGCGTGACTTCTCTGCTCCAGTGTAGAACACTCAACCTACCAGCACAGCTCCTTCACTGGCATAGACTTTTTGGCTTCCACCGCTGACCTTTGAGCCTTCCCAGCATGGATCCCTAAAAGAGACTGTCATAAGTCCTTCTTGTGGGCTCTGGACCTCCAGCTGGACTCATGGGAGGCATTGTCATGGGCTCTGGGTCTTCAGCTGGACTCATGCAGGACATTGCTGAGGGCTCCAGGCCCTTGGCTGAATATTATGGGTCTTTAATGTTGTGGACAGATTTCCTGCACTTTCTTGTATTTAACTCTGGGTGATCATCATAAAACAGCATTATAAATTCTGTGTCCTGTGATTTTTATCCCTGCAACCCCTACCTACAACATCTTCCATTATTTTTATTTGGGGTATTTGATTTCTCATATCTTAATATTATATATACACCACTGCTTTGGTCTTTTGGATGAATTAGTCTTTGCTCTTTTCTGACATTTCCTGAAATTCAGTGTTCATGGTTATAACACCAGAATCAAGAAAGCTTTTTCCTTCCTTGCCAACTCTCAGGGACCATTTGAGATTATTAAATTTATTTTCCCCTCAAGCACATTCAATTCTCCTCCTGTGTTTCTATTTCTTGGAAATATCATTTATAATTCTTTAGATACTAAACAAAATTGTCATAACCAAATCTAGTTCCCAAGTGGATCTATTCAGGTACTTTTTATTTACTTAGTAATGGCTCCAAAGCACAAGACTGGAGATGCTGGCAATCTGGATGGGCAAACATGAGACCCATAAGTGAGTTATTTAAATGAAGTCATGAATGGTTTTCTGTGCATATTAACTGCTACATGGAGGCCTTCATATCCTCTATGGTTTCAGAACCTGGGCAGTGGGAGGATCTTGGACTCTAAATCCTCTGGATAAAAGGGGCACAATTTTAAAAGGCAGAGTAACTATATTAATGTTCCAGAAAGTCAATATCAGACCAAGAAAATGTTTTTGGGATAAAGGAGGACATCATAACTGTTAAGTGAAAGATTCATGGTAAGACAGTAACTTCCTAACCCATTTCCTCTTCACCATCAAAATATGTGAGACAAGAACTGATAGGCAAGCATGGGGAAAGACACAAATTTATGATGATTCTTAGAAATTTAAAAGCCCATCAATAATTGACAGATCAAGCAAGGGAGAAATCCCCAGAGTATGGTTACAGGGCAGCACCATCCATCAGAAGACAGAGCCACTGAGGCTGAATCTCACTACCATCTAAAAACCACTTAATCCTCAAATGGCAAAACATGTATTCTCTCGAAACACGTAGAAAATTCAGTAATAGCGGACACACTTTGAGTGATAAAAACATGATTAAATTTGAAATGATGGAAATTGTACGAAGCATGGTCTCAAACTGTGCATCAACAAGAAAAACACAGGTCAATATCTAAAAGTTCTTGGAAATTAAATAAAAACTACTTTTGCTGACAGGCATCTAGACTGTTTCCACAGGTTAATTATTGTGATTTTTCTACTATAAATGTGGCCATCTACCTATCTAGCCAGTGGTTTTTTTTATCAGAAATAAGCCCAGAAAGTATAACTGAGTCAAATTTTATTTGTATTTAGTCTTCTGAAAACTGTAGTCTTTTTAGTATTTAGTACACTTTTGAGGATTCTTCCTACTTACTTGCATAGTTTGCATTCCGTATTAACAATCTAGGAGGATTTTTTCCCTATTTCCCCACTAAATCCTGGCCAGAATTCATTGATTTTTTGTGTTTTTGGTAGTAATTATTCTAACCACAGTTAATAATGCAGTTTCTTTGTAGTTTTAATTTTTATTTCACTAATAACTGAATATATTAAATACTTTCACATATTTTCTCGTCATTTAAATTTCTTATTTTGAGAAATATCTATTCAGTTCATTTGCCTAGCTTGTGTGGAGTTTATTCCTTCATGGTTGTTTGGGGTTTTTTGTTTCTTTGTGGGGGATAACAGGGATCGAACTCAGGACCTCATGCTTGCTAGGCAGGGAATTATGCCACTGAGGTAAATCCCCAGCCCCCTGTTGGTATTAGTTTTTAAGGTTCTTTATATATTCTAGATATTAGTCCTCCATCAAAAGAGTCACTAGCAAAGATTTTCTCTCAATCGGATAATCTCTTCAATTCAATAATTTAAAAAATATTTTGTGGTCCCCTTTGTTGATTCTTCATATTATTTCTGTGTTTGGGGGTATTTTGCCTATGTCTCGCATGTTTCTCTGACAAGGAAATATGTGAGGAATTCCATCATGGCTGACCAGAGACCACAGTTCTCACAGAACTTTGGGGAGATGAGTCCAGGGAGTTACAGCTACTCTGAAACAAGGGCAAACAAATGCAAGCAGTAAGAGGCAACCTGAAGGAGACACCCCCAAGACGAATCCCAGTAGCAAGGGTACTTAGACATGGAACCTCTTGATCCTGGTTCTGCTTGTATCCCAGTTCCACTGAGCGCCATCTTGGAGCGCCATCTTGGAGCACCATCTTGGAGCGCCATCTTGGAGGGGATCTAATTCTCTGAGGGTAGGAGCTCACCACTGTGAGGTCTTGGAACCTCTCTCTAGGACCCACTTGTTCTATTCCCCTTGTCACTGGAGAAGGATCCTGGTCAGTGAGATATTCAGAGGATTAGAGAAATTTAAAACCAGTGAATAATTTGGAGAGAAGTGACCAGGCTAGGATCAGCAGGCTTTTGAGAAAGAAATAAAAACTATCACAGTTCCCAAGCAGGTTAGAGAGGGGAGAGTGGTGGTGACCAGTGTGATTTGGGGGAGAAGAAAAGACACTGGAGCAGCACCAGAGTAGACCCTCTCTCCTTGGTCACTCAAATATTGGCGACTTCTGGGCCACTGGGACAGCCAGCCTGCTGCCCACCATTTAGAGGCAAAAGTGCCAAAGCTTTGGGAGCCCTTGGCACCACTGGGTGTACAGACTGGTGGGCGAGAGCTCAGCGTGTGTGAAGAGTCAGATACAAGGGGTGCAGTGAGGAAGATGTCCAGCAGGTTCCTCTCCACCCTGGAGATGTCCCCGAGGGAGGACATGGAGATTAAGGAGACCCTTCCGAGAACAGTGGGAAGACTGCACTCCTTCAGCTCCCCGGTGCAAAGGTGCCCAGTCACAAAAGAAAAGATAAAAGCCTCTAGATAGTGATGTCCATCTCCAGAGGGCAGCCAGGCACAGCACTGTCTGCAGAGGGACCTAGATGTGATTTCACGGGTCCAAGCTCCTGTACTCTGTGAGAAGGAGTGGACAAAATCATACGGGCAACAGGTCGACCTGTCCAGTTACCTTAACTCACACGCAGTGGATCCCAGCTCAGTTCCCACAGTTGTGACTGGTCCAGTCATGACTGCAGTGTCCATAGGACTGGGAAGTCTCCTGAGTTTCTGCATTATTAGGCGCGTGCCTGGATTTTTTTCTGTTTCACTCTGTTTTTATTTTTGTTCTCCTTTTTTATCTGGAAAGTATATGGGTTATGTTTGTATATGCCAAAAGAAAAACGGTAATTAATCAGTTCTCTGGTTTAAAGAGTATCTTTCATGTTAACCCTCACCAAAAAATATGTATAGAGTATTCAAATAGAAGATTTCTAGCAATGTATTAATTGATTCTGGTGTAATCATAGCTCCTCTCAATCCCCAGTTTTAACGATCTTCTTTCTTTCTCCCTGTACCCCCAAATAACCTTACAAACCACATCTCCACAAACTCACCAGCCCAGATATACAAATGGTAAAGTCATATCTCTTTTCCTCTTTCTGTTTGCTGTTTTCTCTTCCTTCTTCTTTCTTATTCTTTTCCTTTTCACGTTGTGCCCAGGAATATAAGAGGCAATGTGAAAATGAAACTAGATAAAAGTGTTTGCTCAAGTGAATAACAGAATCCTGTGATCAAATATGAACCCACCAGTACTTTGACATTTGGAGTACCAATAAAAACACTAACAATAGCTAATCAAAAGGAACCATGGCAGAAAGTTTACAGTCCGTCATCTCTGAGTTTCTTCTGTAAATAGTTTGTTGTTTTTCCATAGGAGGATCTAGTGCATCATCCTATGAGACTAATGCCAACCTTCCAATCACTTTCGATCCTAAAAAAAGCACTGGAATAAGAGAAAGTTCAGAGAGGGAAGATATTAGATGACAAGGAAGCAAAAAGATTCACAAAGAGGTTAAATTCCATAGAGCAATTCAAAAAATCACACTTTGTATAAATCAATGTTAACAGAAATTTCCACTTCAGAGTCGGATTGAACGGGATGTCTGCAGCTGAGGCTTAGTGTCCGTGCCGCACCTTCTTCAATGACTCTTTCATGGCTTCACTCTGAAGAGTCTTCTCAGCCCTCCCACTATGTCCTTATTCCTCAGACTGTAGATGAAAGGGTTCAGCATGGGAGTCACCATGCTGTACATGACTGACGCTCTCGCAGTCGCCTGTGAGTTCTGGGTAACTGAGGAACTAAGGTAGACACCCAGAAGTGTACAATAAAATAAGGAGACCACAGACAGGTGAGACACACAGGTGGAAAATGCCTTGTACTTGCCCCCAGCAGAGGAGATGGCACGGATGGCAGAAACTATCTTAGCATAAGAGTAAAGGATGCCAGCCAAGGGACCACCGCCCAGCAGCATGGCTGCAAAGTAGATCACCACGTCATTAACAAAGGTGTCAGAGCAGGCGAGAAGCACCAGCTGATTAAGCTCACACACAAAGTGTGGGATCTCCACGTCTGCACAGAAAGACAGCCTCAATGCCATTAAGGTCTGTAACAAGGAATTTAAGGCACTGGTGATCCAGCACCCCAGGACCAGCAAACCACAGAGTCTGGGGTTCATGATTACCATGTACTGCAGGGTGTGACAGATGGCCACCAAGCGGTCATAGGCCATCACAGCTAAGAGGAAATTGTCCAAAACCCCAAAGACTATGAAAAAGTACACCTGGGTGATGCAGCCTTCGTAGGGGATGACCTTGCTTTGTGTGTGAATGTTCACCAGCATCTTCGGGATGCTGGTAGAAGTGAAACAGATGTCTGCAAAGGACAGGTTAGAGAGGAACAAATACATGGGGGTGTGCAGGCGGGGGTCTGTGATCGTGGCCCAGATGATGAGCAGGTTCCCAAGCACCGTGACCAGGTACATAAACAGAAATAGTCCAAAGAGGAAGGGCTGTAAGCTGGAGTCCTCTGAAATTCCAAGAAGAAAAAATTTGAAAGCTTGTGTTTTATTCTCGGGTTCCATGGAGTTGGTGTGACTAGGAGAAAAACAATGTGACACAGTCATGGAGCATTCACTTTGTTAGAGTATTCTGGTGCAATAGAGAAGCAAAAGTACAAAACAAATATGTTTATTGAGCTGAGGACGTGGAAAGGAGCACATGACCCATGGCAGCCGGGCTGTCTCCTTTGACTAGATGCAGAGAGGCAGAGGGTTCTATGACCTCTGATCCAAAGTGGTGCATGAGCAGATATTGATGATGTGGGAGGAACTGATTGGAATTCTCTGTGTGTGTAAACAGGGAGCTGCAATTAGGGCTGAAGAAGCAGCAGGAAGTGGTAGGCATTCCTGCTTTGGCCTTCCGCCACGTTAGACCACCGCCATAACTGTACAGTAATTTATACTAGGGCAAGAATCTAGTATAAACAGAAAGGCTGTCACTCGTAGTCCATGGTCCAGACTCTAATTGCTACATTTTGTTTATAAATTGGTTTCCCTTAACAGGATCCCCTTGACATGACTTATTTGAATTCTTATCTCACTCCTATCTTTTCACAAGACATTTTAGATTAAAAATTTAAGTTTTTTCATGCCTCTGAGGAGTGTGATTTGGTGATGATAAAGTTTTGGGCATCCTCTACATGTGAATGATCACTGTTTAAAAACCTAACATCCCTACAATTAAATAAGGAGAAAGAATAAAAATGAATTGAAGAAAATACAATTAAGAAAAGAAATAATTACATATGTCAGATAATGACAGTACTATGAAGGGGAAAAAAGCAGTCAGAAAAATGTACATTGTGGGTCTTACTTTGTACTAGGTCCTCAGGTAAGATGGGCTGATAGGTGACACTTGAAAGGAGAACTTTCCAAGCCAGGTGTGGTGGCACATGCCTATAATCCCAGCACCTGGGAGGCTGAGGCAGGAGGTTATTTGAGACTTTTAGACCAGCTTGGGCTGCATGGCAAGACCCCGTCTCAAAAAAAAAAAGCTGAAATAAATGACATTGCTGAGAAGAATGAAGGGTTATTAAAATCATTTTCAGAGGGCTGTGCTGGGCAGGGGAAATGGTCACTGCTCAGTTTGTATTTCTTCAATGAATCAGAGATTATGCATCAGTATATATTACATGACAAGGATGCATTTCAATTTAGGTGGAAAAGCCTGAATACAAAGTAAAAGTTGGCATCCATGGCTATCTGCATGGGAGAAATTAATCAATACACTTGCTGATATATCATATACAGAATCTGAAAGATTAAACACTTTCATTCGAAAGCAAACTGTGTCACTACAGGAACATCAACAATGATATAAAGTTCATGTGTGGTTAGGCTTGTCTCATATAAGGCAAGAAACTTGGAGTTGAGAAAATAAAAATACTTCACTGATGCAATTTAAACACTTTAGAGACAAAAATGTTATTCCAAAAAGAGAAAAAACTAAACTGAAAAATTCCACTAAAATGTGGACAAATGTAGAAAACAGGGATGAGATAATAAAAAGAAAATCAAAATGATATTCCATCCCAGAAATCAGCAATGACCTCACTCCCACCTATGATGCCTCAGGCTAATGTGTCCTTTTCCTGTCCCCTGGTTAGTTGCAAAAGTCCTTGGAAATGTTCTCTATTTGATGATGAAATCACTTGAAGCCTCTCAAGCCCTGTCCTACCTGATCTTCAGCTGTCATCACGTAAGTGTCTAAAATGAACCTGACCTTGCTTGGCTCAGTGTTTGCTCCTCTTTCCAGCAAGGGAAATATTTATATCAGTGCATTCATCAAACAAGCAAGCAAACAGCCCAGCAATATCTAAAGTCTCAGCATCTCAGTTAATTTTTGTGTGTGTCTCTCAGTCTCTCAAGAGCTTTTCCAGAGGTGCTGCAGGACTCACCTGGATGGGTTTCCTGAATGGAGTTCTCGGTGTGGTTGTCCAAATTCCACCTCAGTTAGTTGACGTGGAGACTGAAGATATGTCACCAACACAACAGGAGGAAAATGCCCAGCACTGGGACTTGAAGTAGATGCAGGAATCAAGAGTCAGCGACCACATCCTATCTAAGAAAATGGTGCACAAGCCAAAAGCCTAGGGCAGGAGATGCTTGCAGCTGCCCGTGTGTTCGTTAGGCTGGGCACTCCCTTGTGACTCCTTCCCTGAGCACATCATCTCCCTAAGGAATTTCCTCTGCACGGAGCAATTTTTCTTGCTGAATTTTCTGTCCCCAGGACACTAAATTAAAAGTGAAGTAAGTCAGTCTTCTTACTTCTTCTCTATGGAATATTCTGGCTCCAGTGATGCGATATACTCCCACCCAACATCAGCCCTGAGATAAAGTTTCCTCTGTGGTCTATTATTTATTTATTTTAACATATATCAATATGATATTTTTAATAATGCATAAATACTATGATGATCACTCTACTCATAAGGTTTTCTTATTTAAAAGAGAAGAAAAAGAAGAAAAAAAGGACATAGAAAAACAATGCAGTAAAAGGGTACAAATAATACAGTATTTCTAGAAAAAAATATATACAGTACGAAATCACCAGTTAATAGGTTACATATTATCTTCCCAGAAACAGTTGCCCATATCACTAAATTAAAGCATATAAAGTGAACATTCATACAGTGAAATTGGAGACAGTTCTGTTCAATGATCCAACAAAAGCTCAGTTATGTGGTTTTCCATCCTTCACACTCAAACATACCTGCAGTTATATCCCTTAGTCCACCTTACTTTCCTCTCTTTTTTACAGTAACAATTAGACGTTTAGGGTTTTATTACTCTCACGGTTCTTATTACTTTTTTGAAGAGAATAAAATCAAATGTGACTAAGCAAAACAGAGTAAGTTAGAACAGAAGGGTGGGCATAGCATGTGATGCAAAAATAGATTACCAGGTGATCAAAAGTGGTTACCATTGTGCCTCTTGCTATTTTTAAATTGAGTTGTCTATATCATCAGGTATAATCGAATTGATCAAAACAGTACAGAACAAAACCAATAAAATCTACACTGAGGACCTTACAGGACTTCAAAAAAAAAGGATGATTACTTTTTTGGGGGGGGAGAGAATAAAGTCAAATATGGCAAAACAAAGCTGTAAGTCAAAACCAAGGATAGACATAGCACATGATGTAGAACAGAGTACAAGGTTATTAACAATGGTTATCAACGTTGTCTCTTGTTTCCTTAAAAGGAATTGTCTATCTCATTAGATATTATAAAGTTGGACAAAACAGTGGAGAACAAAACCAATAAAACTTAGGCATTGTGAACATTACAGGACTTCCAAAGGAGACAATAGTCAAACCAGAATGGGCATCTTTGTGAATCTTATTGCCTTCAAATTAGTTGCCTATACCCTCAGACTTGCTACTATCGCACAGAATGGAACAGAGTCTAATCAGTCAAAACAAGATCGTGGGAGTATTACAGGACTTCAAAACAATTTAATAGGAGATCGAAAAGAGTTACTATTATATATCCTAATTTTTAAAATTTTTCCCTTAATTAAAATAAACATAAGAAATAGCTAAGAATTAAGGAGTAATAAAATCCAAAATGTGTAAATTTTGTTGTAAAAAAGAGAGGGAGGAAAAAAAAGAGCTCTAATGGATATAACAGCAAGTGTGTTTAGGGGTGTTAAATAGCTGACTATATTAATGTTTTTGGATCATTGAACACAGCTGTTTGCAGTCTCTCTGTTTGAATGTCTACTTTGTATTCTTTGATACTGTGATTTGAGCAACTATTTCCAAGATGATAATATGTAATCTATTAACAGGTGATTTCTTACTGTTATGTTTTTTTTTGTAGTTCTGTATTATGTGTAACCTTACACTGCTTTGTTTTGTTTTGTGTTTTTCTCTTTTTCCTCTTAAATAAAAAAAATAAAAATAAAAAAAAGGATGATAGTCAATCCATATTGAGCATTGTAGTATATCTTATTGCCTTTAAAGTGATTGCCTATACCCTCAAACTTGATACTATCTAACAAAATAGAATATAGAATAATCGGACAGAACAAGATGGGGAGAGCAATACTGGGGTTCAATTCAGGTTAATAGGACAACAAAACAGTTACTATAATATGTCCCGTTATTTTTTAATTTAGTTTTCCCTTAATTAAAAAAATGAGAGAAGATAGATTAATTTAAAAATAGGGGAAAGGTTGAGATAAGAGAGGACATTGTAATAGAACAACACAGGACAGAACTGAGCAATTCAAGCATCATTGTGTTTGACCACCAGCTAATCTAACATAATAGTAGTCACCATACTGCCTCTTTCCTTAAATTATTAGAGTGTAACTTCGCATGCTGTAATATCAAGCACATCTAGACAGTGTGAAGCCTTTCAAGAGAATGCAAGAATTACAGGGTATTTAGAACCTGCTAATAGAAAACAAACAATGGTTTCTATATTATCTCTTTGCCTACAAAGAATTTTGTTTATACTATAGCATATAGTGAAATATAGTAAGATACAACATGTTAAAACCAGTGGAAACAGATGTACCACAGCTTGATGGGACTTCAAAACAAGATGATATTAAATCAGCACTAGCTTTTATGTTGTATTGCGTTCTTCAAAATAGCTATTATTGCTATCATAGATACTAAAATCAAACAACCCAGGTTAAAACCATTGCAGTTAATGAGTGAAAACATTATATGGCTTCAAACCAATATGATTGGGAATCATGATTACCACATACTTCTATGTATTCTTATCATTTCTTACACTAGGGAAACTATTTGGTATTTATACATGTGAGTTTGATTCATTTTACTTATGAGTATAGCCTCAAGCTGCATCCATTTATTTATAAATGTCTCAATGCAGTCATTCTTTATAGCTGAGTAGTACTCCATTGTATAAAAATACCACAACTTTTTTATCCATTCTTCAGTCGATGGACACTTAGGTTGTTTCCAAGATCTGGCTATTACAAATTGTGCTGCTATAAATATGGGTGCACATATATCACCGTGGTATGATGTTTTCAGTTCTTCT